GAACTTCTCCCGCCCTGAGTAGAAACTTTCGTTCACGTTGTCGGAGCCACAAGATTCCCCGAGCGTGTGGTCCGTAGCCTTCACTTGCAGTGTAGAGTCATCCTCGGAACGCTCCGCTATCTCACAAAATACGATCTCGCAGGTTCGAGCACCTGAAGTCTCGTGCCTGTCTAGCACAACATGGGTCCTTGAGTGATCGGGAAAGATCAATAGCTTGATATTTGTACAAACCTGGCTGAAATCAAGTTGCTTCTTACTTAGCAAGTCGTCAACTTCCTCTTCCCAGTGAAAGAAGCTGCGATTGTCAAAAGCAAGCTTTTGAGGAATGTTGGGTAGTACGACGGTGATGTCTCCAATCTGAGGGTCTTTACCGGCTGTGCCGATCCAGAGACATACCTGCAGCCCGTCAGTGGGGATCTCGTAACAACCTTCAGCACAGACGAGAGAATGTCCGAAGGCGTCGCGGATGGCCACGCACGTCGAATTTGCTTGTGTCGTAGTCGATGGCCACGATGCGGGACTTGGAGGGCTCTGTCAACTCGGGCGCCTGTGGATTCGAGTGTGGTTTGAGGTTGGAGGATTTGGGCGGCAGCGAACTCGAGCGCTTCACCACGTTAGTGAGCTTTCGGTGAGAGCAGGAGCCTGTGTCAAGGCGGAACATACCGGTGCAGTGCGCTTGAACGAGCGCAGCTGCATCTTGTGGATCGCCGGCATTTGTCTGCGGGTGTGGGTGCGTGCTGGTTGTTGCGGTTGGCGGTCATGGAATCAAAACAGCTTTACGCGCATGGAACGCGTCACCGGCGGCAGACCTGAGCAGCAAATATCGAAAGCAAAAGCGAACGCGCCATCATGTCGCCAGCCCGAACGAAAGAACCGCGTCTTGCGAGTTTATTTATACAACACGCCACGTTTCGCTCACTCAACAACCGCAATGTTAGCGTCCGTCCTCTTGCGTGTGCGCGAGCACGACCAATGGCTGAGGAGGTCGGAACGAGCTGGATCTCTGTCTTCCTAGAGCAGCCTCCTTGCTCACGCAGTGCAAATTGCCCAGGATGAGAGCAGGCGTGCCAGGGTTCTGTGATTCTTGTCCGATCGAATGGAAGTCGTGAGTGGTCTTGGGACAAACCCAGTCTGACTGTGCGGCCTGATGATGCGAAAGCCATCGTTGCACAACGATCGCAGACCGTCAGCAAGACTGCACAGGTGTATCCATACATCCATTCGGGCCATGATGTCGAAGGGAGGGGAAGAGATCCTTTCCGTGCTGCATCCGTGCAGCGACACAGGCCAGGCTAACATCTGGGTCACAAATTAGCTGGAGTGGCAGCTCCAGGGCTGATGATCACGAAGGGTCCGCTCGAAACGTTTGGACTGGGGGCTGGCTCGACTCGTGATCCGTATTCGCCAGTCCTCGCCAAACATTGAGCGCCAAAGTGCTGATTACATTGAATGTGTAGGACGTGATTGATCGGGGTGCGAGAGGTTTGGGCTTCAGTTCCTGTCCAGAGCGGGAAGCGAGCCAGGTCTGATTCATTGTTGCCAGTGGAACTACAGCTTCGAAAGCCGAGTAGTAGCGAGCGACAGTAGTGGTTTCAGCACGACGCGTCGTCATCCTGTCAGTTTCTCTCGAGAGGTCTTGCTGCCGAGTGCATCTGCTACTACTCCTCCGGCTTCCAATGTCCTTATCCACCAGCCTTCCGCGCGACTAGACCAGCACACAGCATACTTCTGCCACAAGCGCATAGTCAATAGCCGCCGCCACCGTCTCGCCGATGTGCCTACCTGCATAATTGCAGCACCATCAGTGAGAACCTCAATTCGCAGAACTTGCCGCCGGCGGCTACCTCTGGCGACAGCAGAACATGCCTACGTTCACCGGCAACACCGACGGAGTGTTGCGATCTCGTCGAGACGAAACCGAGGGGCACGGTCAAGACAGGACGGACTCCCAGCGCGGCGCTCGTCTGCGGTGCAGGCTCCATGGAGGCCAATAGTTTCCAGTGATGAACAAGGTTCTCGACAGCGCCAAAAGTGACAAGATATTGGGACACCCCGACCGCGCTGTTGGCCCCCAGAAGAATGGCAATCTCGCGCATGCGAGATCCGTCACCGATCAGCAGCAAAGCGGGGCGAGCGATGACTAAAACGACAGAGGCGTACAGCCTGCGCTCCCATCGCACTCACGGAAGCGGTTGAAGACCAATGCCAACATAAGTCGATATTATGACCACGCCCACAGGTTCCGCTCCACTCGAGAGACGTGCAAATGCATCAGTGTACGATCGAGCTCCTCTGACAAGAGAGTCTCAACCGCCGCGAAAGCGCACACTGTGGAATTCGATAGCTCCGAGCCTATGACAGACAACGAGAGTGAGACCTTGTATTGATCGGAGGCAGATGAGGCTTCAACAACATCTCCGATGGTACTCACGGAGCAAGGCACCTTCCCCATCATCACATCTATCAGCCCATACCTTACCAACTCCGCCACTAAGCTACTCGAGACATACGACCAGCAGATGGTTTATTGCAGGCAGCAGCTTGTGAAACTTCACTCCACAGCCTCGGTACCCGAGCTCGCCCTGAATCACTTGAGCAAAGGATGGCCTGACTTGCAGAAGGTACGGCAAGCCTGGGAGGCCTGGTCTCGATTCCAGCAACTTAGTGCCAAGATGACTAAGCCGCAGCAAGACATGGTTCAAGCCAGATCTGCGGCTGAGCTTGATCCCGACTTTCTGGAGGCAATGAGGAACGCTAGCAAGCTGTATGGCCGCCTCTCGGAGTGTTAGAGAGCAGTCTACAATGATGCGGTCGAGACTCATGCTGCCAAACACGTTGAAGATTACGAAGCACATGACCGTACGCTCACTGCGATGCTACCTGCTACACGCTCTTTAATGGAAGAGGTAGAGAGAATGCAAGTCAAGCTAACGACAAGACGTTAGCTTGTTCACAATGCCTTCCCGGATCTTGCATCGTTGATCTACCATTTGGTATCCACTCCAACTTACCCGGACGATATGTTCGAACAGCAGGAGCACTGCAAATCCGCCATTTCAAGACTAGAGACGAGTCAGTGTGAGTCAATAACAATTCAAGGGCACATTCCCGCGAATCATTGAATCGCTGACTGATACCAGATGGAGCGTAGCTCGCTCGGCAACAAAATCTCCAGCAAAGTGGTGTCCCGGCACGAGAACAACAGCTCGCCAACCCTCGATAGTGTAGATCGAGACCATGACGAGACCCAGCATCGCGCTTTGTCAGGTCCCTGTTCGTGGGGAGGACGAGCACTTGAGAGCCTTGGCAACAATACTGATCGCCCGGTGCAACTCTAGATCTATTGAGCTTCGGACAAGCTGACCCAGTCTGCGACAGCGCAGCGACGGGGCAATTGCCATCGGCGTTAGAACTCTCGGCATTCCAGTGCACAAAGTGCTTTTTTCGCCGAGATAGGCATGTTGAAAGGCAAAAAGGCCCGGGATCGTCCTTGAGCGCCAGGAATATGACCAGCAGGACACGCTCCAGTTCTGCTCGCAGAACGTTGGCAAGCTTCTCGATAGCTGACGGAGCCATTGTGACGAGATGCATGACGGTTACCCCGGCTGGAATGTGTGAAGTGTGAAGTGGAGCCGTGACGACGCAGCGATGGGGAGCCAGTCGTCGCATTACACGACGACCGATAACTTGGCCGTGCAGAGTGCAGGAGTTGAAGTGATAGTCCCAGGTCTGAGGATTGCCGGAGTGATCGCTCATCAGAACTTGTTGTTGTAGAAAGAAGAACAGACAAGGTAGACGGGACTATCTGCACAATGCCAAGCTACTGGGCCGTCCCGCAAGCGCAAGCAGACGCGGCTGCTGCCACCTTCCCGAAACGAGATCTTGGTCTGTTGCTGTCGAAGTAGCATGCGATGCATGCTGGCTAGATGCTGCATTGGCATTTTATCGAAAAATAGGCGTTGAACGGCCGCGCTCACTTCATCGTAGATCTGTGAAAGCTTGCGCATGCTTCAGACCCATGTATTCCGTTCGCGCGAAGCTAATTTCCCGAAGGGGCTTAGACCCAAGACGCAGCTTGACTTCACTTCATATCTCACACTTTATGGCTTCTACAGTATGATTGCGTATGAAATGATGCAGCATAGGATGGGCTCTCCATGATATCGCATCGTACGAGTTACTATGAAACACTCCAGTGCTTCCGGATACCATGCAGACGCATGTTTTGCGCCAGCTGGCTCCTATGAGGTACAAAGCCGCCTGGGACAGTCTGCGACCGAGACGCATAGCGCAGTCCTTACTAGTACGCATCTTGCATCCCGCAAGGATATTTTCTACGGAGCTTAACTACACCCTCGCTGGGGCTACTTTGTGGCCGCGGATCTGTGAATGCCACTCGTCGGCCGCAATTTACAGTCCCATCCGCAAGGCTACGATGATTATGTTCCCGAGACTAATAGTAGGTGACTAAGATCTCACATGATGCATTCAATATTGAGAATACATAGACTTCTGGACCACTCGATAGAGGTCACCGTTGCCCAGCCTACCCTATGGAAGAAACTTGATATTCGACCATATCGATACTAGAATTCTCCGCAGTCGAAATGTTCATACAGAGACGCAACATCATGGCACCAACTCAGCATCTTGAAGTCGCCAGTTACGCTGATTCCGCCGTAATGCAAGCTTATCGAGTTGCACGAGTAATAAGATGAGGCGAAATGAACATAAAGTGCAGCTCGTTCGTTGTGGCCGTCGCCGTTGCGGTGTGGGATCTTTTGGTGAACCTCAGGCCTTTCAGTCTGTCATCAATGCGTCATATCATCACGTGGCGCACAAGTACTTGGTCCATTTCAGACTTTTCCAGCTTGCGCGCAGCTTCCCTTCCATAGCAACATCGCTGTGCCATTCTCCAGGCTCCGGCGCCTCCTGGCCTCTCAGACATCTCCGTTAGCCAACTCGCGGTTCCGTTCCCGGACGATGGTTTAAATCGGACCATGGAGTCCTCCTCAACAAACGCGGCCGAGATGGCCGTCGATACCGACCCGCGACAACTTACTATCTCCGGCATCACTTGGGAAGCATTTCAGGTTGCCATCGACCGGGCACGTAACCTGGATCTGGGCAAGAGAACTGATTACAAGTAAGTGAGCGCTACACGGTCTCCGAGTCACGACCTGCTGACCGTCGCAACCAGGACATTGACTATCGAGGTGGACGGACTCGAAGCATGCTTTGGGCAGTCCCTTCCATCGGCATCAGAAGTCGGCAACGTGGCCTCGAGATTGACTGGGCTCATCGCAGCGCTGCCAAGCTTGAAGCGTCTGGATCTCGAAGGCAGTGCCTCAGCGAGCGAGAACATTTTGAAGCCCTTCGCAGATGCTCTAAGAACCCACATGATGCATCAACACCTGCCCGCTGTCGATCTGGCAGATGCTACGAAGCATCTGCCTTCCACTTTGAATATGCTTATAGTCTCGCCGACCTTCGCCACTGTGGCTCCGGCGCTGGTACATTTGAAGGCTCTGCGCATCTCATCGTACGGTGCCGACATGGACGCATTTCGCCAACTCATCAAAGAGCGCAATACACTACGGAATCTCAAGACGTTCGAGTTCTCGGCATTCCACCCATCGAGCACTCTTGATATCGAAGACATCGAACGTGAGTCCTTCGCATTCGACACTGGTGTGAAATGTAGCTAACCCAGAGCAGAGATCGTCTTCGCTTTCCCGTGGCTTTCTGGACTTGGTTTCAATGGACTTTTCTCAGTCCCTCACTCCATGGTATGTTCACTGCAATTCTACTCCGGCCCCAATGCTAATGCCTCCCCAGTTCTATCTTCCTATTATTGCGAAGTTGCCGCAGCTCAGCAAGCTCAATCTGTCCGCATCATTGATCAGCCCCTTGGTAACTCACCGCTGTCTTCCTCCGGGCGAGCGGCATCGCTTCACGCTCCGAAGTGCTGTGCAAGCTGCACGTCTATGTCTCGACTACATCAATACGCTTCGTGTGGTCCGATTTGATCCCTTTACAGGCCTATTTCCACTACCGCCAATTTTTCGAGTAAGCATCAAGCATGATGTCGCTCGTTCTGGTGATTACTACATCTTTGAAGCGGCACACTAAGAACGAGACGGCACTGTGATTAGCAAGACGACACCACAGTCTCTCGAGGTGTCGACTGTCTCACGCGATGAACATCAGCTTCACGCTCCGCACGCCATCTTCAACGAGGTCGCTGATCCATGTGAGCCTTTCTCGTGCCACACTTGCGACCGAGGTGATCTTCCAGTCTCTGTCCGCTGCTCAGACTGTGGAGTAGCATACTACTGTAGCATAGCTTGTCTTTCGGAATCCCGGTCTGCGCATGCGCGGTACTGTGGCAAGAATCAGTTGGAGAGATACGCTGTGGCCGTCAGCGAGCTGGATTTCTGGCATTCCCTCTAATGAGCAGCTGGTGACGGAATATGGCATGGCACTATTGGGGCCTCAGGCCGATACGAGCAAGATCGGCGATTTTGACATGGCTTCACGCCACCGCTGTTGCACTACTGAATGGCCGTAGCGTAAAAGCCGAAGTGCGCATGCCTCGAAAATCTGCTTGGTTCTAGTGTATGCCACCATCAACAAATGAATTCACATTCAGTCTTTCATCGTCTAGGCATTTCGTAAAGTCTCGTTCTTGTGTATTCTGTGTGTTCCATCTCCTTTGCTTATTGTCCCAACTATTGAGGCAAGGTCATTCGTCAGACACAGATCGTGATGGCATGCGAGTATGGTGAAGGGTGTAGTGGACTGGGATGCAGGCTTCGAGGTCCCAAAATCTCGATATATGCACTAGATTTCACATCGTCTTTGCTAGACCGGCAGACGTACTTCGCATGACCAAATTTCAAACTCTATTTTTCAGAGTCCTAGTTGCAAGCACGGCTTGCAGAGAGTTTTGTGCGCGGCCCAGTCCTTCTTCTGGCAGCGCCTGCTATAGTACAAGGCCCAACTATAGTTAGAGTAGTAACTTAGCTTAGCACCTAGCGCACCGGCGCCGTGCTCCCTGCCACAGGCCTCACAAAAATCGTCGCAGAGCACCGGACACTCTATTTCTTTCAGATCTTTGGGTCCGTAGTCCACAATCTTACGAGAGCTAAGTTGCTTAAAGTACATAGCGAAAGCCTTTAGTGTAGCCTTAACAGCAGCCAGAACTTTTGTCCTAACAATGTCTTCTTTGTGGACCAGACGGGAGGCCTCTGTCAGCTCACTTATCACGTACCCGTAGAAGGCTTTTCCGTGACTTGCATCCAGATTCTTGTGCTCGGTGTGAGTAAGCAAAGTCTCTCCTCCAAGCTTCGCTCGAAAGCATCCGAATTGGTCGTTAGGCAAGTCGATGTTAAGGTCCTGCGTAAGAGGAAAGATCGCGAGATTCAGGTGATTGCGGAAAGGTGAAGGCGGCGAGCTGGTGACCTTTAAGAAGGCCTTGGTAATTCAATCAAAGCCTTCGTGACCAGGACTGTGCTTGTAACAGATAGAAAGGCCGAGATGCTTGGCTAATGGAAGCGGCTTCCAGACCTGAACGCTAGCGAGGGAGCACGAGTCCGGCATCGTTCAGAAGGTCACAGGATCCAACGTGGTCGTGCAGATTCCAGGCCGCCACACGATCGAGACACTACGAACGTCGCCTGGAGAATTGACGATACGGCCATCTTGGCCGCCGACATGAGTCTTCATGCTGGCTTCCACAATTTCGGTCTGTATGGCGACAGATCAGCCAAAGGACACAATAGATAAAGATCTTGAGCGCTGAGCTTACGGCAATTTTGAACTTCATCCTGACCGGGATGCTAGCAATTTGAGAAGCAGCAGAGGAAGACCAGGGGGAAGGGCAGAGGGAAGAACAGAAGAGGAGCAGAGGGCAGAAAGAAGAGCAGAGCAAATTCTTCGCCGGCAGAGTATGAAGATGTGATGGCGGCAGGCCCGTTTGGTCTGCAAAATTGCTTGCCATGGCCTTCACGGACGGAGCTGCACGTCTCCTCCGTTCAGACGCATAGCGCTGCTATGCGCACCTTTCGAGCGCAATACTGTCCCAAGTGGCCGGTTTGGCAAACGAGGCGCCGTCCAACCCAACGAAGGGCTGTCGGCGTACAACGGATAGATACATGACGACTTAGCTTTCGATACTGCGATCGGGGCCGGTAGTCCACATGACTGTATGCTGTGGCCTCTTGTCGACATTGACGAGGCTCTATGAAGTTCCGTCCGCAACATCTTTTTTCCTTTTGGAGATCATGAAGGACAATGCCCAACACCGGAGTTCTTCCAGCATCCACGCACCACGGCTTCGCCGCCCTCCATTTGGCGATCGCATGTTGTATGTCGCAGGATCCGCTGTCCGTTCCTATCGGGCGTAGCGTTTGTCGCCCACCGTTGGTCGCATGGTAGGCTGGCGGACAATCCAGGAGAGCGGTGTTTTGTGTTGTGCCACGTACCTGTCTTGGGCTGGCTTTCTTGGTGGCTTTCTTGATGGTCAAGGCGCCTACACTTGATCGGAAGCTTGGGGGTCGACTGTACCGTATGCTGATGCAGCGTTGTTTGAACGCTGTCGAAGCAGTCTGACGAGCAGGTGAGTATGGAGGGTGATGGTGACAAGGTGAGAACGACTTCCGTCCAAGACTCGACCTGCACCCAAACTGTGTAACCCATGCCAGGCACGTCAGGCAACCATGGTCTTCGCGCGGAGCGTAATCATCAGATGTGTCAAACAGAAGGATACAGTCGCTGTGGTGGAGTGGTGTACGAGGTGCTTTGAACTCTTGGCAGGGTTTCCCGCCATCCTGGTCGTCATTCTGCTCTTGTTCTTGCGCTGCATGCCGTCCACAGACAGCAGCGACCTCGATGTCATCGTCAGCCGCCGCGAATCCGACAAGTAGATGCCTTGTCCAGCACTTTGCGACAGTAGTTCAACATGTGCGGTGTGGGCCCTTCTGGCGTTTGCGGAGAGGTTTCGCGGAGAGTCCTGATGTCGGGAGAGCACTTCGTTTTGTACGTCGACATCCACAGTTTCGCTTGGGAAACAACGACAACGCTGTGAATGACTGGTTAGGCAGCCAGGCATCCCTGATGTCGACGTCGCGTCGTCCTCATTTTCGACATCACTATCCGCTCCCACTCTTCCGCAACTCATCAACAACTCTCGTCAATGCAGTGCGTCGTCTGACTCCGACACCGACCCTGTAACTGCATCACCACGACCAATCAGCACGCGGACATCACAGAATCGCGTTACACCCAGAAGCGCACCCACAAAAAGGCAATCATGCCTACTACAAGAAACCAAGCTGGACTCGATTGGGAGATAGTGAGACCCGAAGATTATGTATGTTCGATGCTCCTCCAAACTCCTCACGCTAAAAATTTACCAGTCCGGCGGTGGTGTTCCGCTGATCCTATTCCTGAAACCATTCTGGCTAAGAGCCAGAATTCAGATGTTCGAGATCGACGGCGATGCTTTTTTGGCAGTTGAGTTCGCATATCAGAAGCTGGCCACTGGGCAAAGTCTCTCAATCGCAGATTTGGATAATGCAGTTGAGGAGGTTTACAACATTCACCGATACAAGAGTTCAGATGGGGGCCCTACTACTCAATAAATCAATTTGGAGGAGATTGCTGCTACAGACAGGGCAGATATTGTAAAAGCGATCAGGAAGTTTTGGGATGAGCGAAGAGCAGTTGAGGACGGAGAAGGCGGTTCTGAGTGAGAAATATGAGAGTCTGGAGAGGAAACTGAGAGCGTCTGGATAGAGAGTGTGATGCAGGAAGGAGAGTGAGTCGAAATGGAGGGTGCGACCCTCGCCTGTGAATTGGGTTTTGATGATTCTCCCTTGCACTTGCGGCAGCAGCAAGTGTTGAAGGACTGTGCTAGTAGTATGGCCGGAAGCTATGGGATGAGCACGCCTCGTGGACACAAGACCAGTTCCAGCAGGAAGCAGGAAGCAGAGACTGAAAATTCGATGGTGTGTCAACGCCACCTCCTACATCTTTCGATGGGGGCGAAGATTCTGGCATTTAAGACCATGGCTCGAGAATTGGACTTCCTCTTTGAGAGGCTGCATGCAACTGTTCAAGTCCAATCAGAGGGCGACTCCAGAGACACGAGGGACAACAACGAGCTCTGCAATCGCCACAAAAAAAATACTATAAACCTACTTATTTCACATCTCACCTCTGTTTCTCCCTTGTGTCCCAGCAGCTCCGGCAAAAGTCTCTGAGCTGCGGCAGCGAATGCGTGCGTGTAGAAGCTAGGCAAGCGCGGTGATCTCCGCCGCGATGTTTCACTGGCACCGCATGCACATACATTACACTGCGGGCTGTCAACCCCTTCTCATCATCATCTCCGACACAATCCTCACAGCTGGTTCCGTTGACCTGAATACACTATGAGTTCTCCATTCAGGCCGCCGCTGATTTCCACCTCGTGTTCTTTGTCGACGAATTGAGTGTGACTGGTGTCAGAAGCTCATCTTCAGTGCTACATTTCTCACAAGGAGACGTCGAACAACGATGTGGGACTTTGATAGCAAAGTGAGGACGCAAGTCTTCGTTGCCCTTGGTATCGTTGATGGTGATGGTGTTGGGAGCTCGCAATCCTTCACAAAAAGAGCACAGCCAATATCGAAGAACGATGTTACGAATGCTCCTACAAGACTCCAATGAACTTGAAAGGATCGCATGTCTCCGCCGCTTCCCGCCTCTTGCCATTTGTCAGTGGACTTAACGCTTGTGCTGATAGTTCGTCTCTGTGGTTCGTTCTTGTGCTGACTTTTGGCGGATCAACAGCGATATAGTGTGGCCGCTGGTAGAATCGGAACTTTCAGAGAAGGCTCGTTGTAGCGGCTCATTCGCAGACGCAGGAAGAGCCGGCCTCGCATATTCCATAGTGAAGGCAGTCGAGCCGCAGACGCTCCTTGTTGTAGCGGTTCCACAAAAGACGCAGAAAGGATTCGCATATCGAGAACTACAGCCATGTCGAAAGAAAGGTCCTTACCAGGACTTGGCTCCACATTGTTTAGGGCGGACAAGAACAAATCCAGCAGCCGCTTTAGCGTAGATGATAGAGGGACTGCGCCGTAGAAAGTTGGAAGTTTTCGGGGTCCGGAAGTCTCCGTCGCGACCACTGCTGGACGTCGAGCTGGACACAAGCAGAGAAAGTCGTTGATGGGGGGTTGACAGTTTATTGATGACCAGCCGCCGCTTCGAATGTTTCTAGTACGTTCTCCCTTGGTGGCTAATCGAACTTGGGCACTGGCGCTCTATGATTGTTCGTTTCAATCTTGACTGAGCGATGCGAGAACAGAGGCTATGCTACTTCAAGGGTCGTCAGTTACAAGCTTGTGCTGTGACACACCTGGAGGTAGCAGGGCCTACATTGACGACTGAAGGAGAACCGCATGTTAGGAAAACTGGCGTTGCAAGTTTGGGTGGCAACGCAACTGTTCGTATTATAGCTTCGAAGTGTGAGTGAGCGACATGCAGCGCGCGAAGGAACAGCGGGCGTGGTTGTATTATTGCCGAAAGCAAAGCGTTCGTGACCAAGGTTGAGAGGTCGAGCTCATCGGCTAATAGAAATAGCCTCCAGGTAAAGTCAGCAACTGTACGTGACTACAATCCAGCTGACTTCAAGCAGTGCCCGAGCCGCCTATGGAGCGTAAGACGCTCGCTGAGCGTGCTGGCGAGCCCGCGAATACTCTGCGCAACAAACCCAGCATATTAAGTGGCTTTGGAGCGCGACCGACCACGAGCGGCGCAAATCCTTATCGTACTCCGGCGAGCATCCCATCGGCAACAGACAGTCTTCGAGGATTGAGTCCGCCTAGTCGGCAGGCCAATAGCTTCGGATTCGGAACACGCACGAACAGCAACTACGGCGTGAGCAAAACACCCGCACCACAATACAACGAAGACGACGATGGAGATGGGAAACTTTTCTTACGCACCCGGAACACCCACGAACAGCAACTACAGCGTCACCAAAACACCCGCACCACAATACGACGAAGACGACGATGGAGATGGGACACTTTCCTCACGCAAAGGTACTCCCGTGCTTCCCTTCAGTTCGAATGCGCTACATATCCAAAAGACTCGCACAGAGAGCAATCGGGTGTTGAGGCCCCAAGGGAGCGTGAGACTGGCAAGACCCAGAAGTTCGCCGGAGCTGGCGTTGTTGTGCAAGTTTTAGGCTGCCGAAAGACCGTGACGCTGTCAACATCCGTCGGGGGAGTTGATGCTGAAGTCTTCGTTGCCCGCCTTCATGCTGACGTTGACATGCAGGGTCTGTGCAGTAGCAGGTCAGCGAAATGAGACAAGATGAAGAGCGTACCAGAGTCTCAGTAATTCAGATGAGAGCAAAGGAAAGAACAGAGGGGAGAGCAGAGGAGCAGAGGAGCAGAGTGAACCGCAGGAAGTTGATACGAGAGGAAGCATTTGCATTGCAGGCTTGCTCGCTACGGTCTTTTCGAGCGAGCACGTCTCCGTTCAGTGACGTGTACTACTGCTACTCGCACATTCCAAGATCAGAACAGTATAGCAGCTCTGAAGGCGTTGCAATCATGCCGCCATTGCCTCCGCAATATGTTGAGCAACTTGGTAGTCCAGCAAAAGGCGTTTCTTCGCATCTTCTGCTATTGCAAGTGCAATCTTGTGATGCTTGAGCGCGTAGAACTTGTAGCGATGAGCATCTTCTTCCAACATCGCCACAAACCTGCTGAACCGGGCGATGCTGCTGAGTTCCGCTCGATTGATGACCAGCTGCCGCTCGAGATTTGAAAATGTCTCTCGCTGTTGCGACAATGCTCCAGCCGGACAAGTACTTATGCACTCTTCAGCCCACTTAATACACCTCTGCAACTCATTCGACTTGGCTTGTGCTGCCGCATACGTGGCCTCGTATAACTCCTGAATCAAGCACGTTTCTTGCTGCAGCAGCGTCAAACAGCGAGCCAATTTGTCATGATGCAGCGCGCGTTCCAAATTGGGAGGAGAGTGAAAGGGGTCCTCCTCGCCTTCGACAGGTACTTTGATAGCCTGTATCAGTGTCTTCAGGATACATTGCGGGGAGGAAGGCGCCTCACTCAGAGAAACCACGTTTTCATCGTCTAGGAGTGCCGCGAATGCTCGGCGCCAGACTTCTGGCACAATGCTGGTGGGGCATTGCTGATGGTACATGTGGAAAATCGCGCGCACTGCCACGTATACACCACAATCGTGTGTGTTGCTCTGATGCAGAGCCGGCGGTGGTCGTGTCGTCCACGCAAGGGGCGCAATCACTTGATCCGGCGAGGGTGTTGGTATATCAGGGCGGCCAAGGGCACGAACGTACTGCTCTATTGCTCCCTAAGCGTGAAGCGACCGAGTCGTGCTGTATGGCAATGGGTCATACATTTCCATCTTCGCATTGATGCGTTCCAGCAAGCATAGTGCCCAGTGGCAGTTGCCGGTATTGATGAGCATGTAGAAGACCGATTGAGATTTACGCTGCTGGAGATGCTCAGCTCGGCGGTGAACATCAGCTGCGTCGGACACGTCCAGGCAGGAGCTGTCAAGAATCAAGTGCTGCGTGACATCTGGATTAGATAGACGGAGGATGGAACACAATGCCGTAGAGGATAACCAGTTTCCAGGCTGCAAAGATTGCAGAGCACCAGCAGTATCCGTCGTTAGCAAGACCTGACACTTTGCTGTATGCGTCGTCAGTAGTGACGAGATTTCCTGGCGTGTCACCACCTCTACGGCCAATCGCCCACTCCGCGTTGCAGGTCGTTGGCCAGTGACGAATGCAGAGGGCTTGGGCACCGGCGCGTCATGGAAGGGCAGAGCCGGCTCGAGCTCCCACTGTTCTAACATGGTGTCCTTCATAGCAGTATGGTCTGGGGTGTCCATGTTCGCAGCCTCCATTGTGAGTGCATGTTTCCGGGCGAGGCAAGGGCTGGTCTTGAAGATGTCCTTTTCGCCGCTGACAGACGAAGCCGGAGGAAGGTTATCGCGCGGAGCGGTGGAGACGCTTCTCTGGTCTGTGTCGAACAATATGTGCGAGCTCGCATTGTTACCTGTGGCAAGAGATGCATAGCCCTGCCAACCGACCTCGACTAACGCTTCCGTGACCTCCGTGTCGTCCGAGTTGGGTAGTCCCATCTGTTCATCACCGTGGTCGTCGTTGACGTGCACAGGGGCATCATCAGGCTGGCTTGCAATTCCGCTTACATCCAGATCGTGAGTGTCCGTCACTTCGGTGCGCAGACTCAGATCAATGATATCGGCCGTTGCTGTTCTCATTGCAGTCTCTCGGTCCACCGGGGTTCCAGAGGGTGGAAAGATCATAGCGCGTCGCGTCTCAGGGCGAGGAGGTGTCGTCCATAGGCCAATTTGATGCACAGCGCCTGCGTAGGTGTCTCCGTTTCGCTCATCATCGCCGCCTTCTCTAAGATCATCTGCGATTAGCTCGCTCTCTCCCAGTAGATCCTTCCGCTTGTTCTGCTTCATTGCATTCTCCCCCAAATCATGCTCGCCCTGCTCCGTGGCATGGTCACGCGGCTTAGAACCATCGCCAAGAGTAACCGCTGGCGCTCGCTTCCTTTTTTTATGAGCAACGACATGAAATTGTGCATCCTCGCCCTCGATGAGTGCCTTGATCGCGTCATCTGTATCGGGGGCCCGAAAGCGCTCGCGTGTAGCTCTGTGTTTTGCTTTGCGTAGCCGTGTGGCAGCAGCATTGTGCAGAGCAATGACGGTAACTACCCACGGCACCGTTGCGCCCGCAGCGTCTTTGATGGTGCACGCAATTCGACGAAGGTCTTTCATGAAGCTGTCTTTCAGCGCATCTTCGTGGAGGTCGCGAAGGAGCTCGTAAGGGCGGAGCTTCCATTCCGTGTCGTGCAGCGCAGCGAGGCGTCCTAGGAGCTCCGTGGGTTCGTTCTTTGGATCTCTTTGTGAGGCGATTGCCAGCTCACGAGCCCGGCTCACCACGTCATTGTCCACGGCATCGAGCATGTTCTTTCCTAGCAGCTTGTCCAGCTCCTTCCATCGGTCTAGCGACGCCGCGTTCCATTCTGGTTGGCTCTGGTACTTTGTCCAGCACTGTATCATGCATTCCAGCCGCTCACTCGGGTCGCAGCATGTCTGGAGTTTGTTGACAAGAGCGTCGAGGGATTCTGTAGGCCCGAGACTAATTGCGACATCGATTGCGGGCGATGAGGTGGACATCGCGTCCAAGACGCACTGTGGGAGCAGCGATGCTATGTGAAGAAGCTGAACGATGGCCTCGTAGTCGTCATCGTTTTGCAGGATGAGGATGTTGTCGGAGCTCGAGTCGTCGGCGATGGCGTGCACTCCGGCAGCGTGTTTGCGAGAGGGCTTAGTGGCCGCAGGATGGGTGGAGTGGCAAACGGCGTGGTGTCGACGTTGTCGAAGCGAAGAGGAAGTGCTCCAAGATGAAGCTATTGAAGCCGGAGTAGAGTGGTCGTCAATGTTGTAGCTTGTCGCGGGCGTGATGTGACGCTGGGAGTACATCAATGGATGGCTGAGCTAAGCTACGGCACGTGCGTACCCAAATCTCATACCTAGAATGACATCTGGGTATGAGATCTCTGGGTATGAGATCTGGGTAAGATATACCTGCAGGGGTACGACGCCACGGTGTCGCACCTTGCGCGCCTCCTTGTCCATTCACTGGCTTGCGTCGGCATTGCGGTCAACGCACGACTGCGCCAGCTAAAACTTCCAAACTGACTTCCACATACTATTCGGGACGAGAGTCTTCTGGCACAATAGTTCGACTCCTGCACCGCAGCTTCCCTCCTCCAGTCTTCCCTCCAGTCCATCTCCACGACGATGATGGCGTTCCGATTCGCTGGTCTTGCGATGTTGAAGGGCTAATATTAGGTGTCAGCGTCAGAGCGGGTACACTCGTCACGAATTTAGCGGCCAGACCGGGCCTTGGTCAACTGCCCTGCTCCCACGGCGACTCTGCCTTTGTCTTAAACTACGCCTCGCTGAGACTCTTGAAGAAATGCAACCTGATCTAGGCTGTTCTCGCTTCCCCCAGGGCGTTTCGAATGAGGTAAGCGCATGCTTAAGTACTTTTGAGGAGAAGAGAAAAGGAAATCATGCAAGCCAGCTGTCGGCGGAATCAAGTGCTGAACTACGGCAGTGATATGCCTTCTTCAAATCGCTCGTCGCGATTGTATTTGATCTTTCAAAAGTGTACGTGCAAACTGATTCGATACAAAGCACTTGCTCTTAATGTTGGCTTTTCTTTCTTCGCTACGTTGTTCCCAAGTTATCCGGATTATTCATTTGCAGCATCTTTCTGACTGCACAAGCACAGCAGGACAGTCCAGACAGGATGATCACCAGGATGGTCGCTGAGCGCAGTAGCATGAGGATAATGTTTGCCGGATCGTGTTGACATAAGAGAGCAGCATTCAGCTGACACTAAGGACAGCAAGTGCAAGTAGAAGAGGAAGAGATTCGGAATAGACTATTGGAAGGAGATGACTGCCTGCAGAGCAGACTTCCTGGGCGCCTGGGCTTCATGCTGCAGTCAAAGTCAGACAAGAGGCTCCGATCCGGTCCAAGCGCGTTTCTATTCAGTCTCGGTCAAGCGGCCTTCAGGTTGCCGTACGCAAAGCAGCAGCCACGATATTTCATCCACTTGAGCCACTTGCCAACAGCCCGGCTTTGAGAACTGGACAGATAGAAAGAAATATTCCAGCCATCTTCCCTCCCAGGTCTAGTGGACTGTTATGACTGCCCGGTGATGTATGTTGGTTTGGGCTTTTCTACTCTTGCTCCGCAAAGAAGAAGCGTTGGTGTGCAGTCCAAGGAGGGGCTTCGACCTGCTGCATGCATGGTCGACCAGCTACAAAACTTTGAATGCCATGAACGAGTCCCAGCAGAGAACCAAGCTGTCCCGAGAACCCGACCTCACGGACTGACCCACATACAGTATCCGCGAGATGACTTCTGCAGACCGATTCGGGTCAGTTGGTGCCACTCGCGTGGTGGAAGAGGTAAGTACATTCCAGGCCGGAAGCTACATGTCTCGAGCCAAATAGCGGGTCTGCAAGTTGGTCAACTTGTGCAAATTGCCTCTTCCCTTCGAAGTGTATGTCCTTCGTTCCTGCCCAGACTCGTTCACGCAACATAGCCTTGCTGCGGGGAAGTCATGCGTTACTACTCAGATGAAGATGCAAGCCCGACGTCCCGCGACTTGAGCGTACTGCGAGTGTGTGGATCGTCAAAGCGTTCTGGAACAATAATCTAATCGGAGAGACATCCATGTATCCCACACAGGTGTATAAAGCCGCATCAATGCAAATTTGGCGAGTTCATATTCCCGAAGTGACAATCTGCTTGGCCGCGGAGCCTTTCTACCCGTTCACATCATTGCTGTACCGACGCAGCTCGGATCGTACCCACGACCACATGAAAGTCTCCAAAAGCGTGGTTCAGCCCGTGCCGAAACATTGTCCACATGCGCTGGCTATCGGAGGAGGCTAAGTCCAAGAGTACTCTACAAAACGACCCAGCATTTCTCCTTTCCGAGCAGCAAAGGCGAAGCGCTCGTGCTTGCAAATAGCGATCTTCAATATTGACGTGTCGTGAACGCGGTGCCAGGACCTTATGTGATAGCAATTCGATGTCGCTCATTGCTCTGGAAGGTGGTTCTGGTACTGTTACTGGCTGCAGTATATGATCCGGCAATACTGGTCGCGGCTCGTCCTAGGGCTGAGCAAATTCTCTCTGTGTCTAGGCTCTTGAGCTTGCCCTTGCCTGCATCGAGCACGTCCAAGTGCTGACCCGGGCTTCTCTGCTGCCGCACGTACACGCATTCTGGCTTGCTGGAGCCCCCTTTCCTCGCTCTTGTCAGAATCCATGTGAGCTTTTCATCGTCCTCTTCGCGGTCGACCATAGGAACCTCGTGTCGGGTGAAGAAGGTGATGACCGTGGTGCATAAGCGCCGTAATGTATCAGGGCGCTCCATTTTCGGCGTTGCTGGCGCAATGGTAGGCTGGGGTTTGTGCTGCGTGAGAACGCCAATGCGAAAACGCGTCGAAGCGCGCCCACTACGCGTCACGACCGCGCCTTTGGAGAGCAGTTTTCGGGGCCGGTACGTGTAGACTGTGCTGCGGCTGGTCTTCGTCATGATGTGTTTGCTGAAATCTCGCAGCTAATCTCGCATTGAGTCGTAGGATTGCTTTGCATACTTTGCCTTTCACATGTTGTTGTCTAGGACACAAACATTGAAATTGGCCCAAATGCGTACGCTGATGTGGCAGTCCGGCGCTAGCATCTTGACAAGGATTCCCTCCTGATATTGTATCTGCCTTGAATGTCATTCATCAGCGGAGCTGGTCTCGTATGGCTGGTCTCAGCTCACCGCCGTCCGCCAAAACATCCTCTCCACGGAACCGCATACACCGATAACTCCTCGGGCGAAGTATCATTGACCTTCTCATTCTTCTGCTGACTAAGTTTGGTCCATTGAGTTGTCTATAATGCCTCGATATGTTGCAACTTGTTCTGCCTTTAGCCTCGGAAGTCTGCTCTTCAGACTCCTTTTTCAGGTGAGTCCGCCGTGGGTTGCTCCTGCTCTGCCTCTTGCGAGTCTGATGGTGACTTTGAGAAGATCTTACGGAAGCATGCAGTCGAACTCGTTTGAAGCATATTCATTCGGGCGACTTTGGCTGCTAAACGCTCGTCCTCAAACGTTTCCCCGCCAGATACAGTCGCCTCCTCTGCCTTGTCGGTCTCAAGTTCGAGTGCGTGCCGCACAGCGCGCTCTTCATCCGCCAGTCTGTGGCGATCTGTCATGAGATGGAGCTCTTTTTGCTGACGCTCAGAAATCGCTTCTGCAGTTAGCCTGAAGTAATCCTACATCCGATCGGTTTCGCTTTGGTGACGTTTAGCAAGCGGTTTCCGCTCGCGCTCGTGGCACCGCTCGTCGACCTTGCACTCATGCTGGTGTATTCTTGTGGGATTTCCTTGCTTGTGTCCCAGTCCAAGGCTTTGTATTAGTGAATCAGTTGGCGGTGCCATGACCAAAACTGCAGCCTGGATAGTGATGGTTGCGTGCTCGCTGTTAATGGTCGACACCGGTGACACAGTGGGCACGCTGGAAGTGTGCCTGTCGCCTCTCACTTTCACTCGATTGCGGATCAGAGAACACGAAAGCCCTAGAGGCATCCCGGAGGACTCGATGTGCAGCAGATACAGCGGTGTGGGTGACCGAGGAATGAAGAGTGCGAGGTAGCGCTGCGACTCTTTCAAACTTCGTACGCGGCAAACTTAACAATTGGCGCGCGTAGTCACCAAGAGCTTGTCAAGCGGCGCTCGCGTTCCTCCCCACAACAACAGCAGATCCAGCACAATGATGCCAGACACACATTGCCACCCCTTAATGCACTTTCCGTACAAGAGGAACGAAGAGCCGCGCCCTAACGACCACCAAGCGCGGGTGGCCAACCACTAGCAAATGAACTACGAAGGCCTTCTTCACAACGGGCTTCACTGGGCGAACGCGCGAGACCAGATCCCGACCGCAGTTCTTTCTACGCCTCCACACTTACATCATCGCTCTCTTGCGCGTCCGTGTTTCGTCCTGGACTTGATCGACTATGGACCTGATGGCAATCTCAAGAGCCGTGAAATTGTGTACAAAGAGCTCAGTCGCCGCTGCAAACAGTGGGCGGCGGTCAACATTTGTGTAGTGACTACCTCACTTCCCCTTTTATGGCTTCAGTTCAAGCATAAATGAAGGACGATTCAGGCCGCAGGCAGAATGGCAGCAGCGAGGGTATGAGGTCGCGATGCGAGCTAGTAGATGGTGGGACGGGAAGCGGAAATGAGGCGAATGAGATCAATCTGCACATCTCCCTTCGCGGACAGCGTGATGCGCGCCGCAAGGGAACTTGCGAATTGGCTTTTGGCAAATCGTGCAGCGCAAACTTGCCTCTCGGCGTTTAGCTCCAGCGTCTTGAGCGTCTCGGTGCCGTGGCCAAGGACACAATGGTCTCGCGCCACGACTTCGTCGCGAACATGAAGCGGATTGAGCACCAGTCGCAATTTGGACAAGCCGAGTCTATGAAGTGCTTGTCGATAGTTGCCCTGCCGAGGATCCTTCCTTCCCATCTACCCAAGCCACTTTCTCATTCACGACTGTCAAGCGAAGCTATGACATGGGCTCCAGGACATCGATCTCGTTACTTTAGCATCTCCATCTCGACGCTTACGCTAATGATAGACGCTCCGCAGGGAGTCGTGGACCACTCTCTGGTCGAGAGGCTTTTCTATTGCCATCTGGACCTCCGCGCCACTGGACCTGATAAGGAATATCTCACCAACGGTTTTCAACGAGGAGAATCCCCTGGATTTGAACACCGGTGAGATCGTCTCTGTTCACGCTCTCAGGTCGTAATTGCGGAGTACCTCCAACGTTGGCATCTCCGCGAGGTTGACATTGGTCGCTCTCTCGACCTCCTCGTCCGTATCCAGCCGACTTCTTCGTCCCGACCATGGTCTACACCTCTCTGGGGATCTGGAGTCGCCGAAGACGTACTACAACATAACTTCAGTCTCCGCTTCGAGTGAGCTCAAGAACAGCCAGGTGCTCGGGAACTGACTACAACATCATGCTGGGTCACGATCAGGAGTGGAAACTGATCATCGTTTAATTTGATGTCAGTCTTGTCCAAATCCGCCATTTACTCTTGGTGATGTCTGCATGCAGCGTCGACGACGCAATCGATTCAACCATGGCCAGGACATTTGAGCACATCAACGTGTGAGATAGGGCCGAGGGGACAAGAAACGTCTACTCGTCAGGTTCTTGTCAACTTGGTCGGAGCTAAGAGAAGAAGATGAAGATGATGAGAGTTAGGCCAGAGATCAGGTCCATGATGTCAATCAGTTTTAGTGCTGGCGGTTGATGGATCTGGTAGTCTCTGACACCGATATTCTAAGTCCCTCATCCTACTGAGGACCCATACTACAATCTCACTCCTCACGAGGATACTCGACTTTGCGGTAACAAATGGTGCTTTCGTGACACTCAGAAACACGAACGCCGACTACATTTCTTCGACAGGGAGTTGCTCGAACATCGACGAGGCAAAGCTAGCTAAAGTCTCCTGCAACAGAGGAACGAGAGATTGTGGCCAAGACTACGACCATGAGCCCAGTGTTACGCCGAGTGGAAGCTTAATGTTTGGAGTGCAGAACCGAAACCCTTGCTCACCGCCATATGGAAGCTGAGTTTTCAATCAGTGTTGGATTTTTGAAGGAGCAACCTCACTAGGCTCTCGGTCCGAGTTCTTTCTTCCGCGTGAGCCACATCTCAGGACAGATCAGCGTGCTGGGTTCTGCCGACTTTCTGTCCAGTCCTGGCCCTCTGGAACTTTACCACCCACCATTGTTCAAGGCTTTGATGAATCTCGTCGCCTTGAGACGATCTGTCTGCCGTTTCCCAGCGGTGAGCTCAATCTTCAATCGTCAAGTTGGTGGTGGGGCGAACATCGTTGGAATGGTGAGGACACGTCAAGGACGAGAGGTCTATTGAAGAGGTGGTTCATACTTCGAGCACCTCAGCACCGGGCTCAGAACATGCCCCAAAACAGCGTGGCATAGCTTCTACTACGTGCATCGTGTCTCCATCGCCTGCTGCAGACGCGCGAGACGGTGTGCTGCCGGTCCACGACGCTCTTCAGCGTTCACGGGCCTTCAACTTCAATACTCCTCCACGCACAGATATAATGCCAAATGTCCCCAGAGCGAACACGATCCCAGCAAGTCCCCCGGATATGGGCGCCAGCAAAGACGTCGGCAGCTTCGAGGCTGCAGTATCTGGCGGGAGGATTCATCAGGCTACGAAGTCGCAAGCTCCAGTAACGCTGCCGATGATGGATCGTCCTGAGTTGGTAAAATACATGCCCAAGAGCCATCTCTCGTCTCAAGCTCGTAACGATTATTTATCGTGTGGAGTTACCGGTCGCGAGGCGTATACCGCATCTGATCCCGATCCTCAAATAGCTACCTTTCCAGCTATCAACCTTGCCTACCAACTTTGCACCAGTTCAAAATGGTTGTTTGGGACGCTTTCCGTGATGTTGATTAGAATGGCGGGCGTGACAAAGCGTGATCTCTCCTTAAAGGGACGAGCGCAGGGAGGTCTGATCATAAGAGCTCACTCAAGGTCGTTCACATTGGGCAGTTATCGGAGTCCCGTTTGCTATGATGTCTCGAAATTTGTGAAGTCTGAGTGTCATCGAATAGGCAGCACAGTCTCATCTTGGTCTGAGGTAGAGTTTTCGCTTATCCGCCTACATCCAATACAGTACCGAAATTGTCAGAAGCTATCTGCGCGTTCGCTGCTCGACCGATCTCGTCTCAGTTCGGCGCCGAGCTGATAGTCCTTGCTCACAAGTACCGAGGGGGTTCCCGGAAAACACCAACAAGTCATTCTTGTCTCAAAATTTTGAATACGGCCAAGGTGCGGCAGATTCTTCGAAGCACACGGAAGCAGACTACCCAATTTGATGAATGACCATGCCGACACTTGAGCGGTTCCAAATCTGTCCGTTTCCTATGCGCGCTGCTGGCACGTCCTAACGACTGCCTCCAAAAGTCACTCGAGACGTCAGACCAATCCGATGTGTCGTGTTTGAAGCATCGCAGTCGTCGAGGAATCTATTTGTTCCTGCTCCGACGAGGAGGAAATCTCGCGATGTTGGCCGGCTGTGAATCTTCAGGCCGTCTGAGATTGCAGGCCGGCTGCGGTAGTTCTAGAGCGCGCCGGGGCGGCGCGCGCCTCCACATCTCATCGAAACCAGAAACCCCAAGCACCTCTCACGATCGCAGCACCTGCGATGCCGACTACACCGCGCATCACGAAGAGTTGAGTGCCACGGCCACTGACTCTAGCCATGCTTGGACCAGCAGCAGTACCCGCCTCCATTTACCGCGAGATGCCCCACGATGACCACGCGATCAAAGTCTCCACGCCGAACTCCTCAACGCTGCACGACTTAAAGACAGGAGGTGGATCGGGGAGACATCTGGACATTGTCATACCAGTTCATGGTTTCTCTTCGAGCGAAAGCGTAGTCCGAGCTCGTGGCGAATCGTTCGCGGGCTGATTCTGTCATTGAA